CGCGGGCCGCCCGGGGCTGGAGGGGGAGGGCACGGGCGAGGGCGGCTGGCGCCAGGCGGCCGAGGCTCCACAACAAAGCTCCGGCCCCTGTCACTTCGCATCGGCCGGGACCCGCAGACGGGTGGGGGACGCGCGCTCAGCCGCCCCTCCCTCTCCCAGGCGGTCCTGGGCGGGGGCGTCGGGCGGGCGCTGGCTTCGCGGTCCCAGGCCCCTCTCGCGTGCTCCCTACTCTTAGCTTCCCGCAACAACCAAATCGAGCACCGGTAGCCTGGCCCGGATGGGACTGCAGTCCCAAGCCTGGCAGGGCTGCCTGCTCCCTCCTTGGGCATGGTCAAGACACAAGGCTAAGACCTCCCTCCTGAGTTGATCCTAAAAATCGCATAGGTCTCCGTGTGTAGACGGGAAAAGATTATTCCACACCACCTGTGGGTGTCTGCATGCACGCCCCGGCGTGGATTTGTCTGAGCCCTCACGGAGTGGATGCGGGGGATGTGTGGTCCTGGGGCAGCGTTGGGTGAGGGGAACGTGAGCGCCAGTAATTGGGCACTAAGCGCTTCTTGGCAAATAAATGTGCCCGGGGGAAAGCTGGGGTGACATGTGTGGCCCTATGCTTAGGGAAAGTGGTTAGGGAGACACGAGGCGCATCCATCGTTCTCTTCTACAGCTTCTCCACTGGACCCGCGCCTCCCGGAGCCTTGGCGCCAGCTAGCCCGGTTAAGCAGTGGGGCTGGGCTCCCCCGCGGTCCCGGGTCTGGCCAGGCTGGGGGCCGCGGCCTCGGTGACCCCAGCCCGCGGCGGCCCGGCCTGTCCCGTCCACTTAAACAAATTGCGGCTGACAGGCGCGCAGTCTCCCTGGAGCCGCAGCTCGCCGGTCGCCTCTCTCGTCCCAATTACCCAGCGTAGGGTCTGGTCAGCAGGCTGGGGTGCGGCAGGCGACGCGGGAAGAGTGGGCTGCCCGACTCCTCTGCCTGGTCATGGTGTGGTCCTAGTCTGGTGCCAGGACCAGCCGCGGGGCCACTTCCTCGTCAGGCTCTGGGAAGCATTGGAGCAGTGACCCGACGGTGTGGCCCAGTGCCTGTCTGTCAGGTTGATGCGGAGGCGAGGCCCAGCTAGGCTGCCTCTGCCCCGGACACACTTGCAACCGGGAGTTGGGGGACGACATCTCCCTGCATTTTGAGAGATCACGTGGTTAGGAACCCACGTTGTGTCCTCGTCGATTTTGGACGACTTTCCCCAGACTTTTAGGAATCCTATAACTCCTCTGAACTGCTAAATACTCGCTACCCTGAGCCTTGGTTCCACGAGGTGCAGCAGCTGTCGCTCTTGGTACACGCAGGGCTGCAAAAGTGGGGTGCGAGTCTTGAACTTGAGCCTGGACATGGGGTGGGTGTTTGGGATCTCAGGAGAGTGAACCGGCTTGAGAAGGGCTCCCAGGACCGGCCCACCTCCAACAGTGGGGCGTGGCTGGTCATGGGCACTCAACAGGCTGGTTCGCTTTGGCCGGCACCAGGAGGGGAGGGGGGTTCTCTGGGGTACCTGGGGCACAGCGCGGTCACAGTCTGCGCTGCCAGACCCCGCAGTCCCAGTCCCACCAATGAGCTCCCTGGACTGTAGCCTCTGAACACCCTTTTGCCTTTCTGACCTGCAAAGTCTCCTTTGCGGTAGCCATGCTGCCCTGCTGGGCTCTTCCCCATGCCTCTCTTTACAGATGACAATCCTGAAGCCTAGAGTTGCAGGTAATTTGCCTAAAGTCATAAAGGTCCTGGTGGAAAAGCTAGAATGGAACCCTGGAACCTTAAAAAAAAGGCGTGTGCTCAGATCCCAAATCCACTCCTTAGAAAGGCAATTTCGAAGTGGTGGCATTGCTGTGGTACTCAGAGAGGAAAGCCACACTGGCATTCCAGGGCTTCCACTGGGCTCGGGTTTTAGGACCAGGTCTGCAGGAGGTCCCCAGGGAAAAGGAGTTACTCAGGGAGCAGCTTCAAAGTCAGCTGAAAACTTGAAGAGATAGGTAGGACCTAGGAGTCAGTGAGATGGGTCTGGGATTGTCTGGGGGCACTTGACAGAGAGGTCAGCTGGGATTCAGGTGGCTGGCTGTACAGGAACTGCCGAGCACATGGAGCAGCAGGGTGCAGACAGAGGTCAGCTGACTAACTGTGTGAATCCATGACCTTGGGAAAGGCCCTGCCTTTCTTGGGGCTCAGGCTTGTCATCAGCAAAAGGAAGGTGGGTGACATCTTTGGGTTTACGGTTTGTGATTTGTAAAAATTAAAGAGTACTTGAGAAATTATCCCCAGTTGCAGTCCTGTGGCTGTCTGGCCTGGCTTCCGCCTGCGCCCGGCAGAGCGGGCCCTGATGCCTGTGCTTGTGTGTGATTTTGCCCTTGGACCACTGGGCCTTTTATTGAATCCCTCGCAGACAGTGCCATGCCTTTTGAGTTGCCCTTTTAGTTCCCAGCAGCCTCTCTGCAGACCACGAAGGTATTTTTCTCCCATCAGATTGAGGAGGAGCCCAATGAGTAGGTAGCGCTGTGATAATCAGGAGGTCACTTGCCTTCCTCAAGGTCACCTGGCCCGGCCACAATTAGATTCCTGTTCTGATGACCTTCTGAGTGATGCTATCGTGAGGTCTGGGAGCGGGGTTGCAGTGGGGAGGTGGAGGCTGTTTTGGATGTTATCTGTACAGGATAAGAGGCTGGCTGCTCTAGGACTAGCGGCAGTAAAGACCCCATCCAGCTCTCACCTTCAGCTGATTACAGGCTATGGCTGGGTCCCTAACCTTCCCAATTAGCTGGAGGCCAGGCCCAGGGCCTTTCAGATAACCTGAACTCCAAAGGCAGCCGCTATGGGGCCGGCTTATCTGGGCTCTCTGATCCTGCCCCCTCCCCCACTTGCTTCGAGTTGCCCTGACTGCAAGCAGATGAATAACCAGATTGTCCCGCAAGTCCAGCACTACACCCACTACTTTCCCTGACTGGAGGAGGCCACATCTGTTCACCCCCCACACTGTGAAGGAAGGGCTGGACTGGGGTCAGCAGGTCCCCTGCATGGCTGAGAGCTCCTGGCAGCAATGTCTTTGTCCCATCCATGGGCCCAAGGGTGGGCGCAGAGGGGTCATGCTTTCTAGAGCTTCAGTACCCAACTCTGGGCAGCCGAGCCACCAGCTGTGTGCACAAGCTGGCCCGTGTTGACTGAACCGGTGCTCCAGCTGGGGATGGGGGCTGTGCCAGGCACGTCAGTCAATGGTGAATGCTGCCCGCATGGGGGGAAAGCTGATATCTTGTGGAGTCCCAGCTTGCCAGGTCTAGGCCTTGTGTTCTCAGCAAGCTTCCTTCTGACACAGGGTTTTTCTGCCCCGGGAGCCCAGACAGAAGGCACAGTGCGATTCGGGTCTTCTCCGTTCAATTGATCTGGTGGAGGAGACTGGATATTAAATTCCTCTTCAGGCACTGGGGATGGGAGGGGTACTATGGAGAAGGCGGGGGCTCAGGAGCTGCCCCAATTCTGACCAGATGGTTGGGTGGGGAGGCTGCTTGTCTGTGAATTCCACTCCTCCATTAAAAACTCCATCTTAAAGCAGACCTGGCTTGGTGGGTTTCCTTCTCTGGGGTCTCTGCGGTAGGGGTGAAGGAAGAGGGGCGAGACCTGTGTTAGGCTCTTGCTAGTTCACGGCACTTTTCTGTTGCCCGGTTCCTGTCTCCCTGTCACTGCTCAGGTCCAGCATAGGAGAACGGGGGGGGGGGGGGGGGGGGGGATGAAAACAAGAAATTCAGGCCGGGAATGGTGGCACATGCCTGCAGACCCAGACCCAGCTCTTGAGAAGTGGAGGCAGGGGGATCAGGGCTATACTTGGCTACATGGTGAGTTAGAGGTCAGCCTGAGCTACCTGAAACCAGGTCTCCAAAGCAAAACAAAACAACAAAACCCAAGAGCTTGTTAGCTGAGATTTCAGCCAACATTCACAAGCTACCCAACTTTAGCTCACAAGCTCTCTACCTTCTGAGTTTGAGAGAGAGAGGTGATTCCCAAGTGCCCTAAGACAAAGTCACAGGCAAGGACAAGCTCTGTTCCTAGAGCAACCCAGGACACATCAGGAGCTGGACTGCCCTCTGTGACCACGTGGGGAGGTCCAAGCTTGGCGCCTCCAGAAGTCATAGGCTCTGGTAACAGGCAAGAATCTTGGAGACTGGACTTCAGTGAAGCCCCACCTAATTTCTAATGGGAAGGTTTTCCTCGCCTTTCCTTCCCTCCACGGGCTCCCCTGTCACTTGTACATAGTGGGGGTGTGGGTGTCAGGAGCAGCTGCCCATAGTCAGACCCACAGGACTTTGCACAGTGTTTGGAGAGGACTCTGACCCCAGCAACTCAGGAATGGACACCAATTGCAGCGTGATTTATTGGACAAGACGTGCACTTTTGACATGGCCTTAGTAACCACAGTTTCCTTCACTGAACAGTACAGGCCAGGGTACAAGGGCTTAGAGGTACGACAGACAATTCTCCCCATGAGCCAACAGGGAAGCGAGGGGCGAAGGGAGTCTCTTTCCTTCTTCCTTCCCTATCACTCTGGGCTTCAGCTCACTCCTGTCTTGGAAGGAACTGAGCAGGGATACCTGGGGGCAGCGTGCATCACAGCCTGAAGTGGGCTAGCTGACACTGTCCACCAAAATGCCTGGCTGGACCATTCAACTTCTCCCCACCCAGGCCCGAAGATCTGGCCACTGTTCCAGTCCCCCTGTGGGTACAGTTAAAAAATACAAAAGCGGATCCGATGCGGGACATCATGTGCAAAGAGAGAAGGGACCCGAGCTTCTGCAGTCTCTTGGCCACAGCCCCCAGTGACAGGAGTGGCAGAGGTCGGCGGGGTGTTCTGGAGGTCTTTCCTCGTCCAGATAGGATGAGCAGCTCTTGTCACTAAGCTTAGGGAAGGTGGGGTTGATGAAAAAGGAGCAGAGACTGAGAAGAGTAGGACCAGAGGCGAGCGGGGGTGGGGGGGGGGTGGGGAGGGGTGGGGGTGGAGGGGTGTGGGGAGGAGGGGGGGAGCGGTGCTTCTCCCAGTCCCTCTAGCTCGGCCAGCCAGTCAGAAGCAGGTGGCTGGCGCCTATGGGAAGCCGGTGGGGAAGAGGCTGAGTGGCTGGCTCTCGTTGGTGGGGAGCGGAGATCGGTAGCCATCGAAGTTTCTAGGGATGCTGCCACTGGTGGAGCCTGAGCTGTTACTCAGAGTCTCGATGCTTCCCTCTCGCTGAAGTTCTGCAAGACAGAGGAGAAGGCCAGGCTTGGTCAGAGTGGGCTGGAGGTGGGGCACACCCTGGGCCTGGCTGCTCACCATGAAGCCCACTGTGGGACCACTCGTATTCCTCTGCAGGGAGGCTTGTGCCCACCTGCTCTCCATATGGGCCAAGTGTCAGCTCAGGTCACGGGGGGCTCAGTCAGGGGGAAGAAGCCCCCCTGAGCAGCAGACTCCAGCTTTTGATTTGGGTGTTTTTTTCACTGTGGGGAAGCCTTAAGGCCACAAGTTTAGTCTCTTGATGTCCTGTGTGGATGGCACTGTTACTCGTGAGGTGTAGGCCAGCACCTGCACAGGCACGCATGCTCAGCCAGCATTCTCCTCCAGTTTCTCAGCCCATACTATCCAGGATCAGCAGGTGGGCAGAAGAAGCCAGGACAAGGGAAGAGGCAGCCTGCCTGTCTGCTCTGTCCCTGACCTGGTGCTCTTCTCCTGGCTGACCTGGCCCCAGAGCTCCATCCCAGCTTAGCCATCCATCGCTCCGCTAGTCTCACCCACAAAAGCTACCTGCCAGCCAGGCTTGAGCTTGCCTTCTAGAGAGTATGTGCCTTCCCTGTATAATGGGCTCCTTTCTTGTCGGGGAGAGCGTCCCCTATATACATGAATATTTCCTCTCAGCCCCTCCCAAAGTCTTCTGGAGACCCACAGACTGGATATGCTGATCTGTAGAGCAGCAAGGCCCCAATGCCCTAGTCCCTGTAACCCCATGCTGCTATTCTGGAAATGGCACACAGATCGATCTTATTTAGCTATGGTAACTTTAACTTAACTGCCTCACCATCTCTTCATCCAAGACAGTAACTGGGGCAGGCAGAGGGCTGGGAATAGGATTCCCTGCTTGCTGGATTAATTGATTGGTTTTCTCGGGGTGGTCAGTTCCTGTTCCCTCTCTGCTCTTCACTGCTACCTCTGAGACATGGGCAAGCACATGTATGGGCAGTTTTTGGAGTCGTGACCTATACCTTAGCTTCTTCCTCTGAAGCCTGTGATTAGAGAGTTGCTTGTCTACCTCAGGAGTGCAGGATCTCAGAGCACTTACTCAAAACGTCAAGGTATACCCAGCAATACACTCCTCTGCTGTCTTCAGAGCTCAGTGTCCAGCCTGTACCCACCCCAGCCCCCTGCCGCCATACACATGCAGCACAGCTGGCATGGTTAGGGAGCGAGGGAGGGGTCATGGCCTCCCCTGGGTTGGTCATCACCAGCCAGCTACTCCCACACTCTGAAGGCCACACTATAGCCTAACAGCAGCAATAGCCACAGAACGGGACAGGGAAGTGGTAACTATGCCAGTCATGTCTGGACCCGAGCCCAGGCTAGATGAGCACACCAGGACATTATAGCTTCCCATCAGGTTGTGAGCATTGTGAGTAGTAGAAGGAGGGGGGCCGGGGACACAGGCTGAGGGACTGAACGCTGGCTTTCTATGGGGCCTTGGTCCCGGGAAAGCCCTGGGATAACTCTGTATGGGCAGAAAGATGAGGCAGGAGGCTGCTCAGACCTTTTCCTCCTGCTTGGTTTTCGGGTTCACCTTCACGTGGGGACCAGGCCATTGTGCCATTAGAGGGGGAGGATGAGAGAGCAAAGGGAGGGTCCTGAGCACTAGTGAGCAAGCAGCAGGCTCCAGTGGAGTTCCTTCTTTCCCCACAAGCCAGCCCAGGAGTTTCCCAGAGAAACCCAAGGACCCAAGTAGCTTTCCGAGGCTCATGCCCTCCTGCGCAGCCATCCTAGCACTAGGGGGCGCTGACAGCAGGGCCAGGACAGGCGAGAAGCAGGCAGCAGCAAGAAAGGCAGGGGCCTCCTCAGGACACAGATGGGATGGGTGCAGGCCCAAGGAAGACCACCCAGATAAAGGAGCAGGAGAGGCCATCAGTAAGGGAAGGGGGGCTCCTCTGCCAAGCAGAGGGAGAGCCCCAAAAGTCCTGATACAAAATGCAACGTATCCACACTGCCAAAGAAGCTGAGGAATCCACAGCCCAGGCCCAAGCTTGGCAACCCATTGTCCCTCGGCATAGGCCCCAGCAATACCCCCAGCCATCTTGGTGAGCCCACCACATGAGTCTGAGTGGACGCACCCCATCCATCAAATGACAGTGCAGGACAGTTGCCAGAGGGTTACAAGATGGGTTTGCTCTCTTGGAGGCCAGGCATGGCTGAACTGCCTGGCTCAAGCTTTCTCTTTGTTATTTAGGCCTGGGAGAGATGGGCCCAGACAAGCTTCCTCCTTGCCTCCATATACTAAGACTCTGTCTCCTTCAATATTGCTCTGGTTAGTCTGCACTGGCCACGGGGTCCCCAGATGTCCATACTTTGCCACTGAAAGCCAGGACACTCTACAACACATCTTGTTATTCCTCCACTTCAAGACTGTCCCTCGCTCCTCAGGGTCTGTCTCTACGCATCACTCCCTGGCACTACCCAACAGCTGTTCACAGCCTGATGCTCCTGTCTGGGTTCACTGGTGTTTTCTGTTTCAGTGAGGAGCATGGATGGACAGCTTGAGGCCACTGGGCCCCAGAATGCCTGCTCATCGCTCTAAGCTTTCTATGGGTGTCCACTTTTCTGTGAACCCAGATGTGCACCACAGAGCCCCTAGGCCTAATGAACTCTTAGCTAGGCCCCCTGAATGCTTCCAAGTGCATTACTGCCCCCCCCCCCCCAGCCAACACACACACATAGGAGGGCAGGCCCTGGTCGGGAGTGCATGCTATCTCATCTCTGCTTTCCCAGTCACAACCCCCTGAAGAGTGGCTTGTGCACAAAAAATACTTTCTGGAATGAACGGTGAGGTAGGGAGACATGGGGCCTTTCTCCAGCATGAACTGATTAGTGGCAGAATCGGGGGCTTGGCTGGTCCTGGGGCAGTCTGTGGGGTGCTTTCTTATGTACCGGTTGACAAACCAGATCTCTCTTTGTCCCTCCAAAGACGCAAGAGTGACAGTGGGTGGGAAGTGAACATGGAGGAGGGGTGGATACATATTGGATCCCCGCTCCGAATCAGCCCACCCAGCCCTCGGAGCAAGCGGCGAGCACGCGCAAATGTGTGGCCTTACCTTCCTCCATCCCGCGCGCATGCTTTGTTACTGTCAGGTTGTTCACGGACGCTGGGCTGTTGGCATTGTTTTTTTTTTCCTTTTTTTTTCCCTTTTGAAAAGAAAAGCATTGAGGAATCTTTTTCTTTTTTTCCTTTGAGAGATATGGACAATGATCCAGAAGGACACTGATCTCCACAAGCAGAAGGAGAGGGTGGAGGGAGGTGCAGGGGTAGCACACGGGAAGAGGGCAGTCTTGCAGTGGAACTCTGCTGTCCAGGACACTGACATGCACGTGAGGCGGCGGGAGCCTGACCAGTCTTGGGGTGGTGGGCCCAGAGGTAGAGGTGTTGTGAATCTTCCAGTATGGGGTGAGGGAAGAGGAGTCACACAGTCAGCATGACACAACAGGCTTCTACAAGGGGACACACGGGGACCTACGGCCCATGCAGTGACAGATGGGGCCCCATGCAGGCAGGGTGCTGGGAGAGGAAGAGGAAGGCAGCAGGCCGGAGAGTTTTCGGGGGAACCCTGGACATTAGGACTTAGTGGCCTGGCTTTGGCTCAAGCCCCACTCCCATCCCAACCTCCCCAGCTCTCAGCAGTATAAGTAGACTCCTGAGGAAGCCTAGTAGAAACTGGCCAGGGCCGGGCAACTAGAGAGGTTCCCCCAGCAGCATGGAGTCTGGCCCATGGGACAGTTGGCTATAAAAAGCTTGTTCTCCTGCCTCCCCCAACCCCCCAGCAGGGTAGGACATGAGGAGGAGCTTCAAGCAACTGCTTGGGCTCAGACTGTGCCCTCATATTCTCCAGGGACTTGGTGACTCTGGAAGGTAGGAGTGATAGATAGCTCTGTCTTGCATACAGCAACATCAAGGACAAAGAGGAAGCCACGGGCCCTGGGTTCACCCTAGAGAGAGCCCTGGCACTGGGACGGGCCACAGGATGCCAGACTCCAATGCCCATTGCTGCCTGTGCCCCCCACTCCCGACTGGTCTTGCTAGAAAACAGGCTTGTTACTGCAGCAGATCCCCGATGGCAGGGGCTGGGATGGGCAGGCTACAGGGGACAGGAGGAGACAGCAGGGGCAGCAATGAGAAGGGAGAGGCCTCTGCTCTCACAAAATAAATAAGCCTAAAGAGGAGGAGGCCTTGTCTGCATGTTATCCCCCCAGCCCCCAGTTCCACATGGTGCCTGTCAAACTCGCAGGGCAAAGGGAAGTGTGGCTAGCCTCTCAGAAGGACTCCAGTTACCTGGGAGCATCTGCAGAGGTACACAGGAGGGGCCATACTCAGTCTCTGTGAGGAGATAGGCACAGCTGCCCCTGTTCTTCATCCTACACAGTGGGTACAGCCCCTTGGCCAAGCCTGAGTGGCTGTGCTATGGTTCTGGGTGGGAGCGGATGAGTGAAGGGGTGTTGGGGGACAGCATGACTTTTCATGCATCAGCTAATGTATCATGAGGTCTGGCTCCCCATTCTCTGGGGAGGGGGGAGACACTGAGGACACTAGGCCTTAGTGAGATCTGGCACAGCTGTGGTAGCCTTAGTGCTAGGAAGGCTCCAGCAGAAGGCCAGAAGTGAAGTCTGCCTTGGGCTGGGCATCCTTCAGGTCCAACTCCCTGAAGTCTGAGCCCTCAGAGGACTCCTGGCTGGTACAGCACTGTGGAGAGCCCAAGTCTCCAGGATCCAGAAGGACCCCCTTGGACCTGCAAAGGCAGTGCTGTGTGTGTTTGGAAGAGGGTACCCGGGGCCCAGGCTCAGCCTTGGGGCAGTTCTGGGACTTCCGCCACCACAAAAGATGGGCGGGCCCACTACTGGCTGCCCCAGCCAGCCTTGCTGTGTGTGCATGAGTGCCAAGATGCTGCTCATTAAAAGGATTAGCGGAGCACTTTTATTAGGGCCTGGCTGTAGCCACATACCCTAGTCCTAA